AGACTGCTCGAGTAACTCCCGAACAAAGCCCTCGATGGTAGAAGCATGGGATTGGTCTCGGCATCCGAGTGCAAGGGAACTATGATCACTCCCGTTCCCATAGCGATCTTCGCACAAGTCAATATACACCGCTTCTGGCGAATGGCCTTTCAGGTGGCGACGAAATGTCCTGATAGCGTCACCCAGCCAACCACTGAGACTTCCACCAGACGTAGACTTCGGTGGAGGAGTCGAAAAGCCATCAGCGCCTAGATCAGTATATTCACCGGAGAGCTCGAACGTGGCTGAGGATTTGGGGATATCTTCAACAGCTTTCACGGGTAACTTAATTCTACTCTCCATCAGACTGATTGATGCATTCAAAATATCCTCCTCAATCTGCTTCTTATGTTGAGTGCAGCGGTTCTGAGCTTCTTTCAGAGCTTCAATAGCTGAAGCAACTTCTTGTCGTTGTCGCACAAGCGCCTGCGACTCGTCCTTCTCCAATTGTTCGAGCCTCACCTTCTCCAGTTTGGCTTTAATTGCACGTCGCTCCTCCGCAGCCTTCTCGATTAGCTCCTCCTGCTTGCGGCGGATTGCCTCCTCTTCTTGGCAGCGAATAATATCCTGCCGTCTTTGCTCCTCGGTCTTCAGTACCGACATATTCTTGAGGACTTGACGGGCAGCAAAAGTAGCTTCGGAAGCATTGAGGCCTTCAAAGTTTGGTCGTCTACAGGCATCAGTCTCCTTGAGGCATTCCGAGAATGTAGTACTGGAAGTACTCATCGCAACTTGAACCGCATATTCACCACTTAGAACCTGCTTATGCAATCGCTCGGCTTGTTCAGTTGATAGCCCAGAAATAAAGGAGTAATATTGCTGCTGGGACTTGAAAATGTGCCACATAACAACCGTAAATTTCATGTCCAAGATATCTCGGCGACGAGGAAGCCGCTGCGTCTTGCGTTTTCTGCTGAAACCATATCTAGCCACGGCTCTTGACACAACTAGAAGTAGAGTACGTCGTAGGGAATCGGCGTCCTCGAAGTGCTGTCCCGACTCGTCTAACAGCAAGGACTCTTTACCGAGCATGGCGTGGCTCCTCATAACGTCTCCGCATGATCTGGGGTCGAAGAACTTGTTGCTGTAGGATATCATATTGGCAGCTTTACTGCCCTGCTCCAAATCGCTCGCCTTCAGGCTGCGTGACCAATCATGGCGGAAAATGGCATTGAGGACTTCCCATGAGAATGGTGTTGAGATAACATTCCGCTGATCAAAAACTCGTATTTGAGCCTCCATCTCCGCAATATGTGACAGGACATCAATATCCACGTAGCACCGATCCTCGAACAAGCCTTTCAGAATACCAGCGTAGGACTTTCCTACGCCCGAGCTCCCAGTCGTACCACGATAGACACGAAATAATTCGTCAGCAGTTCTATTGCATTGAGGAAGCTTCTCAAAGACAGTGTAGAATGCACGAAGTATACTCACCGGTGTTTTCTGTACCACATTCGTCTCCTGTAGTTTCTAGCGATACTTTGCATAACCAGTAGA